GTACAAGGTTTGCTGCTGCAGCTAGTTGCTGCTACAGCTAGTTGCTGCTGCAGCTAGTTACAGCTGCTGCAGCTAACATAAATGGCCTGTCTTGCGGCGCAGCCGCAGCAGCAACTGCAGCAACTGGAGCAGCAGCATGTGTTGCTGCTGCTGTTGCAGTTGCTGCATTTAGGATATCTTTGCTGGGGTGTCTCCTCGCTAGAGACACACAACTGTCTCCTCAAAGGGAGACCCTCACCGCTCTAATGTCTCTTTCTAGAGGCCCAGCCTAAAGCTGCTAGAGCAAGCGCAGCAAAAAGAAGAGAGGCCCCAATATCTATTCAAGCTCCTCTACCTGCTGTATTAACAATAAACCTACTCCTCGAACAGCAAGCTGCAGCAGCAGGCTGCAGCAGCAGCTGTTGCTGCTGCAGAAACAAGCTGCAACGGGATGCAGCATCAGGCTGCAGCAGCGGGAAGCTGCAAGGGGCTGCAGCAGCATCAGGCTGCATCGGCAGCAAGCTGCAGGAGGCTGCACCAGGAGCACGCTGTGAGGGGCTGCAGCAGCAGCAGGCTGCAGCAGCAGGCTGCAGCAGCAGGCTGCAGCAGCTGCTATTAGTTCGGATTGTGTGGGGCAGTGATGTGCAGCAAATGAAGTGAGTATTAAGACAGCCTGCAACTTAAAACGGGATTGACACAAGAAGAGACAGCAGCAGCAACTTTGGCGGAGACAGTCTCCACGCCCCTTGTGGTTTGCTGCTGCAGCAAACGTGAGGGCTGCTGCTGCTGCAGCAGACAAGAATGCTGCTGTTGCATAAATCAAAAGACCTGCTGCAGCATTTCTTTACTTTTGCTGCTGCAAGAGGGCCCCCACGAGAGCAGCTGCTTCAATTAATACGAACGGCTTGCTGCAGCAGGAGGTGGATACTGTCTCCTTAAGATAATTTTGCGGGCTTGGAGACTCTCAGGAGACTCCCAAGGAGACAAAACCCCAACCCTGACGCTGTTGCTGCTGCTGCTGTCGCTGCTGCTGTCGCTGCTGCTGTCGCTGCTGTTGCTGCTGCTGTCGCTGCTCTTGTTGCTGCTTGCAGCGTCGCCCTCACTTCCCTGCTGCTGCTGCTGCTGCTCTTGCTGCTCCTGCTGCTCCTGCTTCTGCTGCAGCTGCCGCGCCAGCTGAGCCCGCAGCCGCATTGAGTGCCTCAGCAGGCCCCTCACAGTTACTGATAAGACCTTCACCATCCGTTGCAGCTGCTTATTTTGCGTTTTTAGAGCGGCTGTCTCTTCTTCTTTTGCTTTTGCTGTCTCCTCGTCTCTCTCAGCTCCCTCTCCTGCCTGCTGCTGCCCAGAGTCTCCTCCTCGTTCTTCCCTGCTGCTGCTGCTGCTGCTGCTGTAAGGGGGTGTTGCTGCTTGCTCGGAGTCTGATGCAGATTGCTGCTGCTGCTCCTGCTCCTGCTGCTGCTGCTGCAGCTGCCCGGGGCGCAGCAGCAGCAGTCTCCGTCTGATAGCTGGGAAGACCGCCTTAAGTATTCTTAAAATTCTTTGTCTTCGAGAAGCTGGTAGCATTGGGTGATCTTGCTGCTGCTGCTGCTGCTGCTGCTGCTGCTGCTGCGCATTTGCTGCAGCAGCAGCTGATGCTGCTGCATTGCTGATGCGGGCTAGCTGGGTAGTGAAGGGTATCTTAACAGTCTTAGAGGCCCTCTGGCCTGCTTCTTTTCTAGCTTCTCTACGAACATTATCAAACACTAAATGTGCAGCAAACCCGCCAATCTTCAGGTCTCCTTTAGTTGTAGAGACACCGTCTCCAGCAGCAATAAAACGAGAGGCCCCCAGCTTAACAGATATCTTTCCTGGATTATATGAGTGAGGGGAGACAGCTGCTGCTGCTGCTGATGATGATAAGGGGACTGCAGCAAACCCTGCTGCAGCAACAGCAGCGCAGCAGCAGTAGCAATATATTGCTGCTGCAACCACACACAAACGCCTCATATAGAGACCCCCCAGCCTCTCTATCTCCATTCTCTGTCTTTAATATCTTATAAAGAAACAAATATAATGAGGGAGAAGAGAGAGAGAAGCAGCAGCAGAAGAAAGGAGACACCAGGGACAGCTAGCTGCTGCTGAGGCCTCAGCAGCAAACCACAAAGACTGAAGAAGAAGGAGCCCTTACTTAAGTGTCTCCTCCCCCTAGCAAACAAATGAAGAAAAGAAGCAAAGTATATAATTAAATAAACACAAAAATTAAAACATAAGACAACCTAAAAGGAGGCAGCTTGCAGCAGACAGCGCAGACGGAGACAGACAGTAGGGGCTTAAAGAAGTCCTATTAAAGGAGACAGAAGGAGACAGCTGCTATTTGCTGCTGCCTCTCCCCCTTCAACCTCTGAAAGATTTGTTGTTTTGATATAGTAAATATATTTATTTTATTTTTATTACTTTATTAACAAAAAATACTGTAGCCCCTGCAGCGAGGAGACAGCTAAGAGGAGGCGGCCTGCCTTCCCGGTGTCTCTTGCATATCTCTGCTGTCTCCTTTTGTCTATCTTCTTTCTTTCTTCTCTTTTTGCTTCTTTTTTATTCATTTAAATCTAACAGATAGCTCTCTAAGGGCCCTATATACCCACGAAGACCCCTGCAGGCAGGCAGCTAGCTAAGCCGATCGGGTGTCTCCTTTGGTGTGTCTCTGCCTTCTGTATGTCCCCTTCAGGACGTCTCCTTTTATACTGTCTCCTTTATACTGTCTCCTTTAGAGTATCTGCTTTAGGGTGTCTTCTTTGGCGTGTGCTTCTTAGGCTGTCTCCTCCATGCTGCCTTCTTTAGTGTGCCTCCTTTATACTGTCTCCTTTATACTGTCTCCTCTACGGTGTTGCCTGCATACTGTCTCCTTTAAAGGGTCCCTCTTAGGGTGTCTCCTTTATACTGGCTCCTCTAGGGTGTCCCCCTTGGGGTGTCCCCTTAAGGGTGTCTCCTCTATACTGTCTCTTTTGCGGTGTCTCCTTTAGGGTGTCACCTTTATACTGTCTCTTTTAGGCTGTCTCCTTTGGGGCGTCTCCTTTTTACTGTCTCTGGTTTAAGCTAGCTCATCTTAAGTGTCTCTTCTAGGGTGTCTCCTGTACACCGTCTCCTTTAGGTTGCACGAACTGGGGTGTCTCCCTTGGGGTGTCTTCTTTGCGGGTTTTGTTTGTCGCTGTCTCCTTTCTACAGCCTCTAGAGGCCAAAGGCAGAGCAGAGACGCTTATACTATCCCCCTCAGCAAGAGGAGACAGAAGAGGGCTTAGAGGAGACAGCAGAGGGCTTAGGGGAGACAGCAGAGAGTCTAGAGGAGACAACAGAGGGTTTAGAGGAGACAGCAAAACAAATTATGCTGGAGGCCGGTGCATGCAATAGTACCCAGCTGCATGCAACAACAGTCTTTTTGTTGCAGCCGCATAAAACTTAGAAAGGAGACAGATAATAGGTGTAATAATAATATTTATATCCTTTCTAGTGGAGCGGAGGCAAGGCAAGGTGTCTCTTGTAGAAAAAATAAATATTAATACTCCCCCCTTCATCACTGTCTCCTACCTAATGGAGGTGTCTCCTCTGGAGTCGACGATCCCAGCCCGCAACACCCCACAACCCACCCCACACTTTCTCTGCTTCTCTTAGCTTGCTTGCATTTCGTAACATTTTACAACAGACAGCAACAACGAATACAGCGGCGAAGACCTCTAAGGAGTGTCTCCTCCAAGCAGTCTCTTCTGTCTACTCTAGGGTATCCTATGTACAAAGGAGACAGTTTCTTCTGTCTCCTCTAAAGAAAGAAGAGACAGCCTCTTCTGTTTCCTTTAAGGAAGAGACAGCCCCTTCTGTCTCCTATGAGGAGGAGACAGCCTCTTGTCTCTCTTCTCAAAAGGTCTCTGTGTCCCCTCTAAACGAAGGAGACTGTCCCCCCTGTTCTTGTTTCAGCGGGTAAACTGTCTCCTCTGTCTTTGTTATAAACAACAGACTCTGTCTCCTCTACAGAAAGGAGACAGTCTCTCCTGTCTCAAATTGAAGAAGATGCAGTCTTATCTGTCTCCATTGCAGAGAGGAGACAATTGTCTCTGTCTCTTCTTAAGAGCAGAGACAGCCCCCTCTGTCTCCTCTATAGAGAGGAGACACTTCTTTCTGTCTCCACACAAGATATAGTAGGGCTCTCTGTCTCCTACAAAGAGAGGAGACAGTTCTTTGTGTGTTATGAAAGGAGACACTCCCTTCTGTCTCCTCCTCTAAAAGAAGAAGAGAGTCTCTTGTATCTACTCTATAGAGTAGAGACAAGTGTCTCTGTCTCTTCTACATAGGAGAGACAGCTATCTCTCTCTCCCCCTCAAAAAAACTAAGGCAGTACTCCTGTCTCCTCTAGAGAGGAGACAGTCTCTAACGAGAGGAGACAGTCTGCTCTGTCTCCTGCATAGACAGGATGCAGTCTGCTCTGTCTCCTACGAATGAAAGAGACACTCTGCTCTGTCTCCTCTAAAGAGAGACACCGAATGCAAGATAAAACAAAGCCCCAAGGTGTATCCACAAAGCACCCCACTGCATGCAGCGCGTATTGTGGTTAAAGAAATATCATCAGCCCTTGCTGAAGAGGAAGGAGACACATCTCCTGTTGCCTCTCTCCTAATCTCTAAGGCCCTGTTTGTCTGTCTCCTTTCATACCCAGCATCAACAGCCTCACAGCTTCGTTGCACTCGGTGTCTCCTTTATTTTGTCTCTTTTTCTCTTTTTAAGGTGTACAGACACCTCAATAAAAGGAAATCATAAGGCGCGTCTCTAAGCCTGCAGCAGTCTACTGTCTCCTTTGGTGCCGCCCGTCTGTCTCCTTTTGCATTTTTCGCTGTCTCTATTGGGCTCTCATTCACAATACTCAATTTGAAAGAGACGCTCAGCTGTCTCCTTAGATCCCAGTCACTTAAACCCTAAACCCTAAACCCTAAACGATATGTGTCTCCACAACAAGGAGAGCCCCTCCTTCTGTTTACTCCCTCTGTCTCCCTGAGCAGCTGCTGTCTCTCTCTTCTGTGGGGCTGTCTCTGTCTCTGAAGCTGTGGCTGTGGGGTTGTCTCGGTGCTGTCTATACACCGCAGAGAAGGTGAGGGGCCCCCTGAAAGGAAGCTGTTGCTTGCTTTATTGTTTCTTTTTTATTGTTTTTTTCTCTGAGTCTTCTTTCGGTGTCTCCTCCTTCTTTCTGTACAACCACCGCTGATATAACAGTACTAAAAATATTATATCGTCGCGAAAGACACTCATCCTGAGCAGCGCATGCAGCCCCAAACGCATGCACAAGCCCCAGAATGCATGCATGCAGCCCCAATCCTATGCATGCGGAGAGCCCCAAACGCATGCATGCAGCCCCAAACCTGTGCACGCAGCCCTCAATGCATGCAGACACGCAGCACGTGGGGTGTAGGGATAGCTGTTGTTTCAGGCAGCAGCTCAGCAGGACTAGCAATCTAAGCAGCAGCAGCAGAAGAATTAGCAGTCTAAGCAGCAGCAGCACCAGGACTAACAACCTAAGCAGCAGCAGCAGCAGAATTAGCAGTCTAAGCAGCAGGAGCAGCAGAATTAGCAGTCTAAGCAGCAGCAGCAGCAGCATGCGCATGCGCAGCGCAGTTTAGTTTGTTACCTGTGCATGTGGGGCATTCGAATAACATAGGCGGCGACATCATCAATAAAAGTATTAATAAATTGATAAAACAAAACGCTCCAAGGCATACACTGCACAGACTTTAGGTAATAATTGCGGAATAATTGTGGGGTCATCGCAACAAACCCCAAGCCGTAGCAGCAAACTGCTGCGCTCGTTATCACCCAAGACCACCTGACAAACATCAGCAGCAGCAGCAGCAGCAGCAGAGGAAGCAGCAGCAGCAGAAGCACGACAGAATTAGATCTCCTGATTGTGCTGCTGTAGATATATCAAGGGAGAGGACAGAGACAGACAGCAGCAGCAAAAGACAAAGACACCCGATGCATCAATAAAAGAAATAAAAAAGGAGACAGGAGAAGTAATTACAGGCGTTCATACACCTCATTAAAGCCCCCAGCCCCACACCCCACATGCAAAACGCAAGAATACACAAGATAATGAAAGGCTGCTGTCTCCGCCGTACAAACAAACTCAAAATTAAAACTGTCTCCTAACTACATACTAACTCTACATATATATACATATATATAAATATGTATGTATATATATATATATATTCTAATAGAGACAGACTCAAAATAAAAACTGTCTCCTTACTATATTCAAATAAAAAACTGTCTCCTCACCATATAGATGTAAAATTTAATAAATGTATGTATATGTATATGTATATATATATTTATATTGATATTTATATTTATATTCTCTTCAGAATAAACCCTCTGTCTCTCTCACCAGCTTCTGTGGGGTACGTAGACCAACTGATACACCGCAACGCAAACCACGAGGGGAAGGACACCCCAGAAAAACAACATGCTGCAGATACACCACACATACAGCAGCAGCAGCAGCAGATGCAGCAGCACCAGCAGCAGCAGATGAAGCAGTAGGCATCTCGTGTACTACCACTTGCAGAGAAGCTGTCCCTGTTTCGGGGCGGCACGCATGCACGCATGCAGCCCCAGATCAAAGCATACAGTGCATGCATGCATGCATGCATGCACTGTATGCATGCATGCAGCGCATGCATGCAGTCCCAAATAAGAGGACTGACCGCATGCATTTTGCCTCGAATTTCTCTGCTCCTTCCCGTGTCTTGTCGTCTACGATCTGTGGGTTAGCAGCAGCATCTGTCTCTGTCTTTGTTTCTTTTTCTTGTTGAGGAGCCTTCTTTCTCTGGAAGGAGACGAAAGGATACTGCAGCTGCACAGACACCTGAACCTGAAGCAGCACAACACAGTGCAGCAGCAGGTGCATAGACCTAAATAAAGAACAACAGAGAAGTAATAATAATAATAATAACTTTAATTATCATTATTACTTTTGTTCGTGTTGTTATTATTGCTATCAAAGCACTCAGATTAACTTACAAACTTTGTAATCTTCCAGGTGTTAAGGAGAATATGAAGACAGACAAAAAACAGAGGCAGCTTCGAGTTATTCTCGTGCAGATACACTGCAACAACAGCTTCTGTTAGAACTTCATATCCTAATGTCCTTAGCTATAAACAAACCAAAAGGAGACACCAACAGAAAGACACAACTAACTGTCTCCACTGCACAAACTTATCAAAAACAAACTCCCCACACCCCACATCCATGCACGCATGCATGCATGCATGCATGCATGCATGCATGCATGAAGAAGAATAGAGATAAAAACACAAAAGGAGAGGGGGCGGAGCATCACCAGCAGCAAAATAAGAGGAGACAGATGGAGACAGAGAGTCCCAAAAGGATACACTGATCAAAAAGGAGACAGCTAAAAGGAGACAGTCTATATTGCATGCAGCTTTAGAAAAGGGCATCGTTCATGAAGGAGACAATATATATATATATATATATATATATAT